CAAAAAGGCAGGGGGCGGCGGTGATTCGCCGTAGGCGTCTTCGATCCGCCACCCCCTGTTGATTCATCACAGGGGTGCCTGGCGTGCTGAACCCTCTCGGTTTCGGTTTTGGTTCTCCAGAAGAACTCCCCCCTGGGGCTTCGGCCCGTCCCGCCGGCCACCCGGAAAGATTGCCAAGGACCTCAATCCGGAAAAAAAATCTCCAAGATGGCCCAAGATGGCCTCCAAGATGGCCACGTTGGCCCAATATGGCCTGCAAGATGGTCCAAGATAGCCTCCAAGTCCGCCCAAGATGATCCAACACGGCCTCCAAGACGGCCCAAGAGGGCCCAAGACGGCCCAAGACGGCCCAAGAGGCCCCTCAGAGGCCTCCAAGACGGCCCAAGAGGCCTCCAAGAGGTCCTCCGGGAGGGCCCGAAGAGGCCAAATTCATTGATTTTCCCTCGGGCTTCGAAGGATATGGGCAGTTGTTTCTTCTCGACGTTCCGACTGCTCGAGACGGCCCAAGAGGCCCCCAAGATCGCTCCAAGATCGCCCACGAGGCCTCCAAGATGGCCCCATGACGGCCCATGAGGCCCCCAAGAGGGCCCCAAGACGGGCCAAGAGGCCTCCAAGACGCCCAAGATGGCCTCCAAGACGGCCCCGAAGCCGTTTCAGAGAGGCCCCAAAGACGGCTCCCGACGGCGTCAGACAGGCAAGGAACGCCCTAAGACGCCCAAAGAGGCCCCCGAGAAGTCCCAAAAAGGCCCCAAGAGGCCCTCAAGAGGCTCCAACATGGCCTCCGAGACGGTCCCAAGATGGCCCAATCGAGCCCAAGAGGCTCCGAAGAGGCATCCTCCCCCTTCTCCTTTTTCCTCCTTCTCATCCTCTTCCTCTTCCTCCCCCACGTGTTCCCCGAAGGCTTTCCAAACCGACTCGAGGAACACATGGTCCGATAGCTTCGCCCCCAAAGATGCCTCCAAGACGGCCCAAGATGCCTCCAAGACGGCCTAACCTGGCGTCAATATTGCCCAATACAGCTCAAGAGGCCTCCAATGAGAAGCTCCCAGGCGGCTCCAGGAGTGTCCCCAGAGGCTCCCAAGATGCCCCCTCTTCCTGCTTCTTCTCCTCCTCCTCCTCCTCCTCCTCCTCCTACTCCTCCTCCTCCTCCTCCTCCTTCTCCTCCACCTCCTCCTCCGCCTCCTCCTGACCTTCCCCGCCATTCTCCACTACGTGTTCCCCGAAGGCTTTCCACAACGGCTGCGGGCACACATAGTCCGATAGCTTGGAAGAGCTCTTGCCACAACGCTCGGCCACATGGGCGATTCTAGAAGGCAGGGAGCGGCGGTGATGCTCTGGAGGCGTCTTCAATCCGCCGCCCCCTTTTGCTTGCAAGAGGGGTGCCTGGCGTGCCAAATCCTATCGTTGTTGGTTTGGGTTCTTTTCCGAAAGAACTCCTTCAAGGCCTCCGGAGCGTCCCACCGGCCGCCCAGAAAGATTGCCAAGGACCTCAATCCAGAAAAAAATCCTCCAAGATGGCCCAAGATGGCCTCCAAGATGGCCACGTTGGCCCAAGATGGTCTACAAAATGGTTCAAGATGGCCTCCAAGTCCGCCCAAGACCCAAGATGGTCCAACACGGCCTCCAAGACGGCCCAAGAGTCCAAGACGGCCCAAGACGGCCCAAGAGGCCCCTCAGAGGCCTCCAAGACGGCCCAAGAGGCCTCATTGATTTTCCTTCGGGTTTTGAAAGATTTGGGCATTTGCTTCTTTTCGGCCTTCCGACAGCTCAAGACGGCCCAAGAGGCCCCCAAGATCGCCCACGAGGCCTCCAAGATGGCCCCATGACGGCCCAAGAGGCCCCCAAGACGGCCTCAAGAGGACCCCAAGACGGGCCAAGAGGCCTCCAAGATCGCCCACGAGGCCTCCAAGATGGCTCCATGACGGCCCAAGAGGCCCCCAAGACGGCCTCAAGAGGACCCCAAGACGGGCCAAGAGGCCTCCAAGACACCCAAGATGGCCTCCAAGACGGCCCCGAAGCGCCCCAAGAGGGCCCCAAGTCGGTTCAGAGAGGCCCCCAAGACGGCTCCAGACGGCGTCAGACGTGCCAGGAACCTACCAAGATGGCCGAAGTTGGCTCGAAGCTGGCCCAAGACGGCCCAAGAGGCCTCCAAGAGGGCCTCCAAGAAAGCCAGAAGAGGCCCAAAACACCTATTACCCTGAGGGAATTGAAGGAGTGTTACATTTGCTTCTTATCGGCCTTCCGACGGCCCGACACGGCCCAAGAGCCACCAAAGATCGCCCAAGAGGCCTCCAAGATGGCCCCAGAACGGCCCAAGAGGCCTCCAAGACGGCCCCAAGAGGCCCCCAAGACGGCCCAGGAGACCTTCAAGACGCCCTGGAGCCTTCCAAGAGGGCCCCAAGTCGGCCCAGAGAGGCCCCCAAGACGGCTTCCGACGGCGTCAGACAGGCGAGGAGCCCACCAAGACGGCCGAAGATGGCCCTAAGATGGCCCAAGACGGCCCAAGAGGCCTCCAAGAGGGCCTCCAAGAAGGCCCGAAAAGGCCAAAAAAGCATTGATTCCCCAAGGATTGTGGCATTTGCTTTGTTTCGGCCTTCCGACGGCCCTAAAGATCGCCCAAGAGGCCCAAGACGGCCCCAAGAGGCCCCCAAGACGGCCGAAGAGGCCTCCAACACGCTCAAGATGGCCTCCAAGACGGCCCAAGAGCCCTCCAAGACGTCCTCCAAGAAGGCCCGAAAGGGTCAAAATGGCCTCCTCAATGCGGCACACCCCTCACGCACGTCGCACATCCTGGGTGCTCAGCTGGCCCCAAAGACGGCTCCTTGGGGCCTCCATTCGGCACGCCCCTTAACGCATTTCGTGCCCCATGCCCCATGATGACCTTCGTTCGTGGGCGCTCCGCTGGCCCTCAGGATGGAAAGCCCTGCGAAAAAAATCCACGAATGGTACCGACCCTCGTCGAAACCATACCCCGGACACCCACTGATTGTAAAATCTGCGTGCGAATTTCCCATGGGGGGCCTGGGGTGTGTGCCGTAACTCCCACTCTGCGGGCTGAAAAATCGAAACACGCACGGGTAATGAACAGGTTTGCTTCCAAGGCTTATCGGCTAAAGACAGCCTCGTAAAACCTTCAGAGAGCCACACGAAGCCCCCAAATGGGCAAAAAAAGCCCGAGACGGGCCAAGAATGGCGAAGGCACTCCATAAGATGGCCCAAGACCACCCTAAGAGGACCCCAAGACGGCCCTAAGACAGGCCCCAGCTGCCCCAATAGATGTTGCAACCAAGTTATTCCAGGAGGTCTCAATAGAACCATCGCGCCCAAGACTGCCACGAGACTTCCGACGGAATCCCGACGAGCCCCCAACGGACCCCTACACCCCTGCTTGGAATTCAGGAAATGCTTCGCTGAGAAAATGGACTTCACCCCAAGCGGCTCCGTAAACAGTAGTCCAGGTTCAGATATATGAAAGTTCTACGAACAGACAACGGGGCTCCAAGAAAACGCCCATGGCCCACTCCAGAGTCTTGCGTCTCTTGCGCGGGCTCTGGAGTCCATGAAACATGCTGATGTTCTTGAGATGTTTGACGGGTGTAGACGCCCTCCATGGTGGCACGAAAAAGCCCCCAAGGAGCATCCAAGATGTCCTCCTCCTCCTCCTCCTCCTCCTCCTCCTTCTCCTCCTCCTCCTCCTGCAAGGGAAGGAGAACGAAGCTGCGGACAAGCACGAGGCATCCAAGACCCGAGCCAGTGCAGAAAGGGCACCGAACTGCAGCGGGCCTTCAACTCAACCTCCTTCCTGATGCGCTGCCACGGTTGGCGGTGGGTTCTGCCGCAGGCAGCTGGATGCACTAACAAAGCGCGTGGCGTACATCGGGGAACAGCCAATGACAGAATCACTCAGCGTTCGGAAGTCCGCGCGGATTCCTCGGATCGGCGCGGACCTCCGACAGCGCATGGTTCTGGCATTGTTGTCGCTCCTCGAGTGAAGCAGCGAAGCTCAGGTCTTTCTGGCCACTCGGCGGGCCACTGCGAGGCCCGATCTAATTGACCCACTCGCCGTCGCTCGGACGCCCATCCCCCGTGCATGTTTCGGTCTCGTGCGTGTCTGTTTTCGCAAGACGGCCCGAAAGGCTCCTCGATGGTCCCTGCCGTTCTTATGACAATACGCACGGTGAGGGCGTTGGTGAAGGAATCGTTTGATGAGAAACCCAGGGTCTGGAAGCCGACGGAACTCCAATCATGGATGGGCCATGGATATCACTGCCGCCCGCATTAGACAAGGAACCCTCCAGGATCTGAAACCACTGGGCAAATTCCTTGACAAACGCCCCCACCGTGTATACATGCACACGTCCGAGCGATGCCAAGCCAAAGCGAAACCTCGTCACGTCGAGAACGGCGTCAGCGCCGGGGCGCCCGACGAGACAGGCAGGCCCTGGCCTCGCGATGCGCAGTGCCGCGGCACGCCGCGGTGCAGCTAGCCGACGAGAACGGCCAGGAGCGGGTCGGGCGTTGCTTACTGGGGAGGGCGATACGTCGGGCGGAGGAGGAGGAGGAGGAGGAGGAGGAGGAGGAGGAGGAGGAGGGGAAGAGGAGGAGGAGGAGGCGGGGGCGGAGGAGGAGGAGGAGGAGGAGGAGGAGGAGGAAGTAGAGGAGGAGGAGGCGGAGGAGGCGGAGGAGGAGGAGGCGGAGGAGGAGGGGGGAGGGAGGGGGGCGAGGCGAGGCGAGCGCCGAGGTCCGCAGCCGCACTGAGGCGCCGCCGCGCGCCTTCAAGGCGTCGGCGGTGGGGCCGCAGCCCCCCCGATGACGACGAAGAAGTTCCGGGGTCCGTTCGGAAACCACTGTCCGGGTCGAGGAAGGGTGCACCCTCCGCGCCCCCTTTTGGGCCGCAGGGGGCTCCTGTGGGGCCCCCCCTGGGGCATAGAGAGGGGCACCGCTGCTCCCGGCCCCCTCCTTGCCGCCCCGCCAGGACGCAACGCCCGCGCGGGAGGCGCTCAGGGCGCGCCAGAGGACGGAGAGCCCGAGGAGCGCGACCGGGAGCGGGAGGCCCTCCCGTGCGCCCTGCGCCTCAGAGGCTCCGCGTGGGGCTGGACGGAGCAGACAAAGTTCGGGGACGGCACCCTGCCGGGGGGTGGCGTTAAGGAAGGTGGGCCTGATTCGGAAGCTGGGCGGGGGCTGCTAAAACCGTGGCTGCTAAAACGGCCCTACCGGAAGGAAGTTACCCTGTGACGTACCCAACCCATTTGTATCATGGGAAACGAGAAGTTGGCCGAAACTTGCACGGACAATCAAATTGCAGGATCCGTTGTTTGATATGTAAGCTACTTGGGACACGCGCCAATGGCATGATGCGCAGGAGAACCATACAAGAACGAGGGGCGACAACTACAGGCTCGAAGAGGACATGGGCAGTCGGGAACGAGGAGCAGGAGAAAGACGTGCGGGAAGCCCACTGCGCTGTGCCCCTCAGCAGCCCTCGAAAGTGGCGACAGTTTCACAGATCGCAGCCCCCCAGGGACGGCGAGGTCTAATCTGAGTCTGCGGTGAGTACCCACTGTGCTGGGCCCCCCAGCAGCCCTCGAAAGTGGCGACAGTTTCACAGATCGCAGCCCCCCAGGGATGGCGAGGTCCCATTTGAGTCTGCGGTGACCACTGTGCTGGGCCCCTCAGCAGCCCTCGAAAGTGGCGACAGTTTCACAGATCGCAGCCCCCCAGGGATGGCGAGGTCCCATTTGAATCCGCCGTGGGTACCCACTGTGCTGGGCCCCCCAGCAGCCCTCGAAAGTGGCGACAGTTTCACAGATCGCAGCCCCCCAGGGATGGCGAGGTCCCATTTGAATCCGCCGTGGGTACCCACTGTGCTGGGCCCCCCAGCAGCCCTCGAAAGTGGCGACAGTTTCACAGATCGCAGCCCCCCAGGGATGGCAAATTTGAGCCTGCGGTGAGTACCCACTGTGATGGGCCCCTCAGCAGCCCTCGAAATGGCGACATTTTCGCAGCCCCCAGCAGCCTCGAAGCGCAGCGACGAGCGAGGAAGCGCAGCAGATCGCAGAAGGTGAATCCGCCGTGGGACTGTGCTGGGCCCCCCAGCAGGCCTCGAAAGTGGCGACAGTTTCACAGATCGCAGCCCCCCAGGGATGGCGAGGTCAGTGGACTGTGCTGGGGCCCCCAGCAGGCCTCGAAAGTGGCGACAGTTTCACAGATCGCAGCCCCCCAGGATGGCGAGAATCCGCCGTGGGTACCACTGTGCTGGGCCCCCCAGCAGGCCTCGAAAGTGGCGACAGTTTCACAGATCGCAGCCCCCCAGGGATGGCGAGGTCCCATTTGAATCCGCCGTGGGTACCCACTGTGCTGGGCCCCCCAGCAGCCCTCGAAAGTGGCGACAGTTTCACAGATCGCAGCCCCCCAGGGATGGCGAGGTCCCATTTGAATCCGCCGTGGGTACCCACTGTGCTGGGCCCCCCAGCAGCCCTCGAAAGTGGCGACAGTTTCACAGATCGCAGCCCCCCAGGGATGGCGAGGTCCCATTTGAATCCGCCGTGGGTACCCACTGTGCTGGGCCCCCCAGCAGCCCTCGAAAGTGGCGACAGTTTCACAGATCGCAGCCCCCAGCAGCCCTCGAAACGCAGCGACGAGCCAGGTAAAAGGCAGGGGGGGAGAGAGGGACGGGAAGGAAGGAAGGTTCGCGCGAGCAGTGCTCTATTCAAAACGAGAACCCAACGCAGGAGGGTTGGGAAAAACAACTTCCCGGAATGAGGCGCGGCACGCGAAACAGTCAACGGGCTTCTTCCCGGAAGGACGAAGACAACTTCCCAGAGGTCGATTTTAGAAGCCACGGAGTTAGCAGCCCTGGCCCGGCTTCCGAATGATGTCATGATACAAGGTTGGTTCGGGATGCTTTGCAAGATTTCCAGAGCATCTAGCGGCCCTCGTTTCTGCAACCCGTGCGGAACATTCGGAACTCTTGGGAACCTGGCAATCCAGGAACGTATTAGTATGATGACCTCTTGCTCCCCTTGAGTGAGGGGCGGGACCGGGTCAAGGGGGGCAAACATCGAGCTGCAATCAGGGATGCATCGCCGATAGAGCGACGATGAGCCCCCGATAGCAAAACCGTGCGTTCCTGGGCGAGGTGGGCTGTCCGGCCCCTATCGGCGGTCACTGGGCGATTGGGGGTCGATGCGTTCCCCCGTGAGCCATCACCCCCCCCTAACCTCCTCCTCCTCCTCCTCCTCCTCCTCCTCCTCGCTGCCCGCGACCTGTACTCGTGGCCGGTCCAGTCCAGGCTGCCGGTGGCCAGGTTGAAGCGGAAAACCCCGATGCTGTCGGAGTCCTGGTTCGCGGTGATCAGCCACTGACCAGAGCCGTCGAACTGGAAGTGGCGCGGCGTGGCACCGCGGGTGTGCTGGGCGCCGACCAGGGACAGCATGCCGCGACACGCTCGCTCGTGGTGGACCCGGAAGACGGTGATGCTGTCGTGGCCGCGGTTAGAGACGAGCACAAAGTTGCCCGCCGGGTGCACGCAGATGCGGCCGCACGTGTTGCACTCCTTGGGCCAGGCATCGGGGACCGTGCCGATCGTCTGCCTCAGCTTCAGCGTGGGGCGCGCGTCTTTGGCCTCCACCCTGCTGGTGATGAGGTCCTCCGCGGCCTGCGAGTCGAACTCGAAAACGGACACCTCCGAGGAGAGCTCGTTGACTACGTAGGCGAAGGGCAGATTCGGGTGGAACTCCACGTAGCGCGGCCCGAGGGCGGTTCGTCCGGGAGGGCCGGACGGCATGGACCCGGCCGGCTCGAGCGTGGCCTTGTCGTACTTGAACTGGCGGATCAGATCCATGCCCAGGTCGGGGACGTATGCGATCTTCCCGAAGACGGGGTCCAAGATGACCGCGTGAGAGTGCGGATCGGCCTGACGCTCCTTCTGGGCACCCTCGTCGTTGATGGAGTGATTCACGTGCTTATCGGCCCGCGCCTTCATGGGCTTGCCCCCGTTGGGGTCGTAGAGCGACCGGAGCCCAGTGAGGCCCCCAGTCCGGCTGTCGATGCCGAACACGCCGATGGTGGCATTCCAACCCGCCAGTGCCTTGAGCACGTAGTGGAGCGCCCCAGTGCCCATACCACTGCAAGTTGTAGGTCGGCGGGGTGAAGGGCCCTCGAGGGCCCGAATCACCCATCTGATGGAACTCTCGAGCGCTCCTGGGGAGCGTCGCGTGAGCCTCCTTGGGCCCAGCACTGCTGCAACACTCTAACTTGCTCAGCAGCTCTAGCCTCGGAAGGCGCGCTCGGCCGGTTGGCCATGACCTTCTCCACCCAAGGCGGCCCCAAGACCTCCCGGAAACATTCCGGGAGCTCCCCAGATGCCACCTGGAGGCCGAAACGGCTTCCTGGAGAGCCCGCAAAAGCCCCCGAGGCACTGTTGCGGAGCAGGCCGCAGGCCCCTGGATAGTTCACCACGAGCATGTTCTCGCACGCTTTGTCCAAAGTCAGGTAACATGTCGACGTGCCCTCCGCGCTGGTACTGGAGATCTTGGTAAGCTTGCCCCCGTCTTTTGGCGACATGCTCCAGGCGTCGATGATGCCATTCTCGGCGACGGACTCCGTGCAAGTATAGAGCACGTTTTTGGTCGGATGGAAGCGCGAGAAGGCTGGGTTCATCACTACGTCGCTCGACACCGAAAGCATGGACATCTGGCCGTCGTTCGCGTCCAGTCGGAAGGTGTAGAGGCTCCGCTTGGCTTCTGTCCCGCGAGGCCCGTGGGCCAAGTTGTCGAAGCGGGTGTAGCAAGATACAACTACCAACGGATGGCCGAATGCCGAAGTCCTCACCTGCGGTGGCAGGCCAGTGGGCTGCTCCACCTCCTCCTCCCCATGCGAGAGGACCTCGTCCTCAACGAGCGCGGTAGCGGGGCCACGTGACATCGCTGAAAAACAATAAATTATCACCAGTGGCCCGCGCGGGCAGTGTAATGTATGCGAGGCCTGCTGCAAATACGAAATGCGATTGCCTTGAAAAGGCTGTGGGGAAGCAGGAGGACGCAGCCGAGGATAAGCGAGAGCGTGGCGTGGGCTAAGACGACGACGACGACGACGACGACGACGACGACGACGACGACGACGACGACGACTGACGACGACGACGACGACGACGAACACGACGAACATGACGCTGACGACGGCGACAACGACTGCGACGACCACCGACGACGACGGACGACAGACAACGACGGACGACGGAGGACGGACACGGACGACGGACGACTGACGACGACACGCACGACGACACGGACGACTGACGACATGGACGACGACGACGACGACGACGACGACGACGACGCCGACACGGGTGCGACGACGACGACGACAAAGACGACGACGACGACGACGACGACGACGACGACGACGAGGGACGGCGGCAGCCGCGGCAGCGGCAGCGGCGGCGGACGACGAAGACGACGACGATGACGATGCTGGCGACGCCGACGGCGATGACGACGACGACGACGTCGGTGGCAGCGGCAGCGCCCGCCCAGGAACGACATGGACGAGCCACGCACCGCCCTCGGCAGGGCGCGGCTCCGTCTCCTGGGGAGCGCCCCGAGGGGGCCCACTACCCTCTCCGCAGCCCCGTCGGGGGCCGGAGGCCGCCGCTGCCGCCTCCGCCTCCCGACCTCCCCTCGTTCCCAGCTTCCCCGGATGGTGACGAGGACTTCTTATCGTCATCGTCACCGCCGCCGCCTCCTCCTCCTCCTCCTCCTCCTCCTCCTCCTCCTCTGACCTCTTCCTGGAATGTGGGGCGGGTTCGTGTCGTGCCGACACTTCGGCGTTGGTGACTGACACCGCGGGATCGTGCAACCTTGAACGGTCAGCCGTTTCCGAAACGTCGGATCGTTCAACATCGACCGATCCTGGGTCGCCGGCGGCGTTCCACGTTGAAGGCTTGCGGCGGGGTCGCCGCGGTACGACACGGCGCGAGCCTACCGTAAGCGGGGCCGAAAAACAAAAAGAGCGGGAGAGGAGGAGGGGGGGGGAAGGGGGACAAGGAGGAGGAGAAGTAGGAGAAGGAGGAGCAGGAGGAGGAGAAGGAGGTGGAGGAGAAAACCGAGGAGGACGAGGAGGACGAGTAGGACGAGGAGGATGATGACGATGATGATGATGAGGAGGAGGAGGAGGAGGAGGGGGAGGAGGAGGAGGAGGAGGAGGAGGAGGAGGAGGAGGGTTAGGACGAAGAGGAAGAGGAGGAGGAAGGTGTCTGCGTTCGGTCGCAGGGCCAGGAAAAAAAACAAGAAGAGCGGGGTCGGGTTGGCTGCCAAGCAGCCTCCTAGCTCGTCTGGCCACGGAGGCCTCTTGAGGGGACGAACCGCATGCGAAAGCCTGGCTCCTCTCCCCTCTTCTTCGAAATGCTGCTCCGCATTCCTCATGATCCTCTTCCCCCTCCTCATGACTCCACTTCCTCCCTCCTCCCTCTCCTCCTCCTCCTTCCTTCTCATCATCAACCTCATCATCATCATCATCATCATCATCATCATCATCATCATCATCACCAGCAGCATCAGCATCATCATCAGCAGCAGCAGCAGCATCAGCATCAGCATCAGCATCAACATCATTTGCAGCATAATTAATCATCATCATCATCATAACCATCATCAGCAGCAGCAGCATCATGGTCATCATGATCATCAGCATCATCAGCATCATCATGATAAGCATTATCAGTATCATCAGAGTCATAATCATCAGCAGCAGCATCATCAACATGCCATCAACATCACCATCATTACCATGACCATCAGCAGCATCATCACCGTCATTCCAATCATAATCATCACTGTCACCGCCGAAATAATCATAACGATACTCGTGCTCATCATCATCAGCACCATCATTATCCGCATATAATCAGCATCATCATCAGCAGCATTATCATCAGCATCGTCATCAACACACTCATCAGCAGCAGGACTACCATCACCATCACCAGCATCAACATCAGCATCTTCATCAGCATCAGCATCAGCATCATCATCACCAGCACCAACATCATCGACATCACCATGATCATCATCAGTAGCACCATCATCATCATCAGCAGCATAATCAGCATACTCAGCAGCATCATCATCGTTATAACCAACATCGTTATCATCAGCATCACCACCCATGATCATCATCATCAGCAGCATCAGCTTCATCATCGTCATCAACATGATCATCCTCACCATGCGCATCGTCATCATCATCACCAGCACCATCTGTACCAGCATCATCATCCGCAGCATCATCATCCGTTTCAGCAGCATCACCATCATCATCAGCATCAGCTTCATCGGATTCACCATCACCATCAGCAACATCATCACCGCCCTTCCCCATACCCCCCACCCCGTCCCCCTTCCCCTCCTAATGCTCCCCGGACACCTCCTCCTCCTCCTTCTCCTCCTCCACCTCCTCCTCGTTCTCCTCCCCCGCATCCACCTCAGCATGCGCCTACTCCTCCTCCTCCTCCCCCCTCCTCCTCCTCCTCCTTCCTCCTCTCCTCCTCCTCCGTCCTCCTTCCTCCTCCTCCTCCTCTTCCAACTCCTCCTCCTCCTCCTCTGCCTCCTCCTCCTCCCTCCTCCTCCTCCTCCTCCTCCTCCTCCTCCTCCTCCTCATCATCATCATCATCATCATCATCATCATCATCATCATCATCAGCATCAGCATCATCATCATCATCATCATCATCATCATCATCATCATCATCATCAGCATCAGCATCATCATCATCAGCATCATCATCATCATCATCATCATCATCATCATCATCCCAGCATCATCATCATCATCATCATCATCATCATCATCATCATCATCATCATCATCATCATCATCCCCTCCTCCTCCTCCTCCTCCTCCTCCTCCTCCTCCTCCTCCTCCTCCTCCTCCTCCTCCTCCTCCCCCCCTCCTTCCCCTTCCTCCCCTCCTCCTCCTCCTCCTCCTCATCATCCATCATCATCATCATCATCATCCATCATCATCCTTAACTCCTCCTCCTCCTTCTCATCTCCGCCTCTCTCCTCTCCTCCTCCTCCTCCTCCCTCCTCCTTCCTCCCTTCTCCTCCTCCTCCTCCTCCTCCTCCTCCTCCTCCTCCTCCTCCTCCTCCTCCTCCTCCTCCGCATCCTCCGACTCCGCCTCCTCCTTCTCCTTCGCTGTCCCACCCCCCTATTCCCACCCTTCATCCTCCCTCTCCCCTCCCCTCCCATCCTCTCCCCTTCCCCCCCTGTTCCCGCTCCTGCTGCTGCTGAACCTCCTCCGCCTCCTCCTCCGCATCCCCATCATCCTGTGCGTCCCCCTCCTCAACATAATCCGCAGCATCATCATCATCATCATCATCAGCAGCATCAGCAGCGTCATCGCCATCATCATCATCATCATCAGCATCATCATCATCATCATCATCAGCATCATCATCATCATCATCAGCATCATCATCATCATCATCATCATCATCATCATCAGCATCATCATCATCATCATCATCATCATCATCATCATCAGCATCATCATCAGCATCATCATCATCATCAGCAGCATCATCGCCATCATCATCGTCAGCATCATCAGCAGCAGCATCATCAGCAGCAGCATCAGCAACGTCAGCAGCATCAGCAGCATCAGCATCAGCATCATCATCATCGTCAGCATTATCGTCGTCATCATCAGCAGCATCATCAGCAGCATCAGCATCCGCATCATCAGGATCATCATCATCAGCGTCAGCATAATCACCAACATCAGCATTACCAGCATAAATGTCAGCATCAGCATCCTCCACATCACCAGCATCATCAACCTCAGTATCACCATCATCAGCCTCAGCATCAGCATCAGCATCACCATCATCATCATCAGCAGCAGCAGCATGATCACTTTCCTCACCATCATCATCTTATCAACAGCAACATCATCAGCATCAGCATCAGCAGCATCAGCAGCATCAGCAGCAGCATGGTAAGCATCGTCATCAGCATCATCAACATCCACATCAGCATTACCAATATCATCTTCAGCAGTATCACCATCATCCTCCTGATCATCAGCATGTCCATCAGCATCACCAGCAGCATCGACATCATCATCGGCATCGTCATCGCGCGCATCATCCACCTCATCATCATCTGCAGCATCATCGGCATCAGCAGCATCATCAGAAGCATCATCAACAGCATTCGCACCCGCAGCATCAAGATCATCGTCAGCATCAGCATCAGCAGAATCATCAGCCTCATCATCAGCATCCTCAACCTCATCATCATCATCATCGCCATTATCATCAGCAGCAGCATCATGAGCACTTGCCTCATCATCATCATCATCATCATCATCATCATCATCAGCATCATCAGCATCATAATAAGCATCGTCATCAGCGTCATGAACATCCTCATCAGCATTACCAATATCATCATAGGCAGTATCACCAGCATCCTCAACATCAACATCCTCAGCAGCAT